AAGGGAAGACTTATCAAATACAGTCAAACCTGTATTAAGCAGACTTGCATTAAACGGTCACTTTCATTCTCTTAATCACCGTAAAACTGAGCTGTATTAAGAAGTCACCCAGCCTGCATTATGTGGTCGTAAACACTCTATGGTCAATTTGTCAAGTTACGGCTGGAATATTTTGCTTTGTCACCTTTTTTATTTTCTTGATAAACAACCCTTTAAGCCCTAAGAGTGACCAGCATCAAATTTTGTCTTTTAATATTTTAACTCAACTAACTCATGCTTTGTAAAATTACGGAGAGAATTACGGACGTAATCGCACAAAATGAATTTGCTTGATATTCTATCGAACTCTCCCCACTACTTCTGCAAGAAATGAAGTAGGGTAGCAAATGAGAATTCAAATTTTGATCTTAGGGTTTAAAGAATTAAATGAAAACAGGCTTGACTAACGAAAAAGTGAGTTTTCCATTTCAAAAATTAAAAGTGCTTCGGAAGTTTAAAGCTATTAATGACTCATTAATACTTCGGATAGCCGCATCTGAACCAGCGTAAGCACCACCTTCATCTACATCGTCATAATAAAATAATAAATAATAATAATGAGTCTTTATTTCATCAAAAGATAAAACTCCATATCTTATGTTACAATAAGAGAAGATAAAAACTATGATAAAAATATCTACGTTATAAATATATATTAAAAAAGTGTATCATTACAATAAATAGAGCTTAAAAATCAATCTATTTACAAAGGTGTTCATAAAACGCTCTGTATTAATTTTCGGGCGTACGCAGCCTTTTTTCCTAAGATTATGTACATAAGTCTTCTGGACAGGAATGATATCTTTTAGTGGGTGGCAATCCGTCGATACTAATTTCTTTAAAATGTTTTAGTCTTGTTTATTTAAAAGATTCTTGATAAAAACTGGAAATGAAATAAAACGGCGTTTATGGCATCGGTCTAAAAAATTTTGTATAACCGTAAGGTCGGTCATTGTACAGTTTTCAACAACAATAGAGTAGCGTTAGAAGCCGGCTCTCACAAGTCTCCTGTAGCTAAGTGGTTGAGCATCTGCACTAGTAACCAGGTCATAGGTTCGTCTCCTGTTGGGAGTCGGCTTGGAACTGTTTCTTTTGAGTCACTTGTGTCATTGACCGAAAAAAACATCTTTCTCAATAAAAGATTTCTGTCCCAAACGTTTCAGGATCCGCGGAGCAGTTTTTAAACTGTGGGGGCCGGTGACCACCTCTTTTTGGAGGTGGTAGGGGCTAATTTGGCTGTTCTCTCTTAGTGGCTGTTTAGAACTGTCAGATTACTGAACCTTTCCTTAGTCATTGTTCAGCAGAGTCATGTTTATAAATTTCAAGCTGCTGAAAAGTGCCTTTCTCCTGCTGAGTCCGGCTGATTGTACATGCTGGATCCACCAGTAGAAGTTTGCACTGTAGGTTCCTGTAACCTCTTCATTTTGTTTAGTACGTCATCGAAATGCCTCAGAGACTACATCATCAGCCGATATAATCCGTTTTAAGAAACCGTAGTTCGTGGAGTAGTTTTTATCAAAAAAGACTCTATTCCGCATCGTTGCAAATGGTACATAGCCTGGCTTCTGAGTCTTGCCGGTTTGAAAACACAGAAGTCTAGGACTAAGTGCCGTTTTGTGAACACAGGCGTTTCGAGGCTTACTATCGTGGCATCAGACTGATGGAATCGAAACGGACCAATAATACTTACTTTAGATGCTGGAAGATTCTTATTCCAACAAAGATACTATTTATGTGAAAATGTATATTACAGTGGAACCTCTATAACGAAGTCCTCGGTCTAACGAACTATTTTTTTGACTCCAGCGATAGTAAAATTTAAGCCAGGAGCAATATGAAAAAGAACCTCAATATAAGTTAAAAAAAACCTCGTTATAACGAACATATTTTGCCATTCTCTTGGCCTTTCGTTATAGCGAGGTTCCACTTTACTTAATTTTATTTATTTTTCCTCCCAGTCCCTTACCCTGCGCGGGTCCTGTTGTTTTGTTTCAAGCTTGTAAAAGGACGAATTTCTACGGACAATTCGTACAACTACAACACCTTCTTTGCAAATAGAAAGGGGTATGACAGAGGGTCTGAATGGGGGTACCTCGATAACACTTAACACTTCATTTTTTGGCTTTGTAACATGAAACAGTTAAATTTTAGGCATTTTAACACAAACAGTAAAAAATTCTTTGAAACAGTAAATTTTTTCCAGAAAGAAGCAAAAACGGCTCGAAAAACGCCAATATTATTTTGTTTAGTATATAAAGGAATTTTTGCCCACTTTACGACAATTCCGGATTATTTCAAAAGAAGAGACTGTCGAAGATTTCCGAAGACTAGCCAAGAGGTTCGACCATTGCCGAAGATGTCCTAAGGACCCTCCAGACACTTAACAGTATTTTCTTTCTGGTAAACATTGAAAAATTTGCCAATTTAACAGCAAACATTAAAAATTATGGGCAAATAACAGTCTAGTTTGCCTAATGCACCTTTGCATGTTCTGTTCCAAATTGTCACAGACGCCCCCCTCCCCTCAGGAAGCTATAACAGGAGATGCTTGCGTAGCGTAACAAGGGAGATTATATGGAGACTATCATGAATTACTTGCCGCCACTTCCGTCCTTCTGGTACATAATTGTTTAGGTCTTTTACAGTCCGGGTCTTTTATGTGTTGATTATGTCTCGAGTAAACTGGATATTCAGGATGTAAAACGGACGAAAGCTTGTGGTAAGTTTCATTGGTTTTGTCACCCACGATTTCTGTAGCCAAACTTGAATCAAATGTAGGACAGAAGTGTACAGTATTAGCAGTATGCTATGCAGCTATGCAGTTATGCAGTTATAATGCAGTTATGCAGTTATGTAGTTGCTGTTGGTAAACGTTGTGTGTACAGAAGACAGTAATGGAAGGTTGCAATGTTGACTGGAGAGGAAGTATATTATACATTCTATAACTTTTTAATACTTTACTTCGGTAATGATGAATAACTGATAGGAAGTGGACAAATGTTTATAAGAGCCCATAATTTAGAAGTATTTGTTTTGCCATTAAATGCTGCATTCAAAGGTATTTAGACGAGTGCAAAACCACTCTTTATTTGAAGCAGTTGTTTGTTGACAGTGGATGTGAGTTTTGGCCAGCAGCTTGATGAATACAGTCGACCTCATTTGCGCTAGTATTGTGGTAATAATCGCTGTGACCAGCTATCCAAAACGCCAAAATTTTCCCAGTCTTATCATAACTTTTACAAAATTCTCGAATCTGATTGGCCAGTAACTATTCTGATTTCAGCACTAATACATGTAGGACAGTGTACCGGTAAATAGGACAGTATGTGCCTAGGTGGGGTACTCTGGATTTCAAGTGACAGCAATGATCGAATAATGGGGTCAAAAATCAAAGACCCTAAAAATTTCCCAGGGCAGTTCCAGCAAAACCCCCAAAAATCTGTGGCTCAGACATTAACCCTATTTAATGCCGCAAAATGTAAAACTAATGCAAAAGGTAATAATATTGATGTAAAATGTAATAAAAACTTTAATGCACAATGTAATAATCTCTCAACTTAATATGTAATAACTTTTGAAACACGTAATGTAATAATGTAAATTAGTATATACACACTCGGTGATCTTGGTGATTCAAGCAATCGGATTGGTTCACTTAATCTCGGAGTATGACATTATATTCACCATGCTAGGCGTTGAATATAAAGCAGTACAAAATCGCTTTCGTGAACTGGGTGTTTTGCCAAAGTTTCATGGTAAGAACTTGTTGAAAATACAAGAATTTCCAAGTGTTGATGGCTTCTTGGTGTTTAAACTGTCAGTGTGATTTATTGTGAAGTGGTTTACTGTAGCTGACGTTTTGTACACTCAAAGCTATGTTTACCACTACTGAGGAAAACAAGGCCCCTTTGTCACTGTTTTGTGATTTTGGGATTTTCTCGCAAGACCAGTTTTGCTTATAAATAGAAGTTAATTTATGGAGAAAAAAGGAAGGCAAATATTTTCGAAAAATGTACACGCCAGCAAGTTAACAAGGCTAAGAACACTGCAGACAAACAACATTCACCTTGATATGAACATAGCCGCCCTTGACAGCACTGGAAGAAGCGACAAAAAAAACTTTCTTCATTCATGGTGGGTTGACAGAAACAAATAAAGCTCTACTTTTCTTCTCAGATTTGGGTATTAATTTAAATTTGTGGCTTTTTCTTTAAGCCGCTGATGTTAAATCTTACAAACATTGATACAAAAAGATTAAAACTATCATTTGCCATGTTTGAAGATACTGTCAAGATCTAACTTTCGCGCATCTAACTTTCACCCGTCAATCAAACTAATCGTTTTTTTAATGGTTTCCTTTTTGATTCTGTTGAGATCACTTCGTGTGAATATACTAATAACAATTATTTACCTCAGGCTCAGTTAATATTGTTGAATAATTGTTAAATGTAATAAGTTTCGAATGACATGCATGGTGTTTTGAAATGAAATTATTATTATTTCAGTACAAAGGTCTGGATGCCCAGGGTGAAAAATAAAAACTTTGGCTGGCCAGCAAACCGTAACCAGCCGCAGCATCGACCAAAAATTTATGCTAACAATTACAAACTAATTTGCGCAAAAAATAAATAAATAAAATCCTGGGTAAAAATAATTTGATAAGAGTGTCATAAAAATTGAATAAATAAATAAATAAATAAAAACCTAAAAGCTTTATGGACGTCTTAATCACAAACTTAAAATGTTCGTAAGTTGAAACCCATCGTTCATTATAATGTAGCTGTCCATTTAATTATGGGAACGTCTAAGGTATGTAAATAAAATTTAGATAATGTACAAGATTAAGTATCTGTTAAAATCTGTTAAAAATTCCTGTAGATATCTAAGCGCTCAGCTTGAACATTCTAGCAATGTGTAATGAACTAGACAGGATTGCCTTTTGCATTTGGCGCATAATTGATTCACTTGTCTCGTACAAGCTCTTTAATATTTTTCTCAACCTCTTTCGAACAGCTCCCAAGGACATCCATGATGATGTTATACTGATTGACTTTGTACTCAGGGTATCGGTTCATCAGCTCTAGTCTCAATTGACTGTACTTCGTTGTCTTTTCAGAATCTTTAGACTCTCTATTTTCCAGCCATGGATAGCTCATTTCAATCACCCTGACTTGCTTGCTGGTCTTGTCGATGACCGTGATGTCGATTCTATTAGCTTTTACTTGAGTTGTGTCAGCTAATAATGGGACGTCCCAGAAGGCCGTCGCATGCTCATTCTCATACAGTGGCTTGGGTGTGACTTGTGAGAACCACGGTTCAACTTTAGTAATGAAATCTAAAGATCTGAGGACTTCAAAGAATAAGATCTTGAAAGCATTGTTATGTCTCTGTAGCTACTTATTAGCCTGTTCCAGCTAGTGCACTACAGCCAGATAGAATGTGCTGCACATTCTCCAGGGAATCTCCGCATATAAGCGGCATGTTTCATCAGTGACTTGTGATTTTGTTTTTCCGTTGTAGTAAACCTTGGTAGGTAACAGCTGTTGGTAAAGCTCTTGAACACCAGCGATGGTATGTGTTGGGGCATTCTTCCATGAAGAAAGCCACGCAAAGCATTCCTCCAGTTTAACTTTCTCGTCGTCCTATCTGTTCTTGATAAGCTTTCCTTGCCATCTCTCCTCGGATACCGTTGATTGTATCTCCTGCTGGCGGGCTTTGAATGCCTGCTTTACCTTCTTAGCTTCGTCGAATCGACTTCTTAGCCATCGGCAACTGCAACTGGGTTAGGGAAGTTTAACCACACCTGTAGATCCAGCTCCTCTGCATACTTCTTAGCATCTTTAATGATGGAGTGGCGTCCATTTTGTACAGCTAGCTCTTCAAACGATCTTACGGCTACCATTGCAGGGTCAGCGTTGCAATTAAACTTTACCGCTGCTTTGATCTTAAGTAGTGTTCCTGTATTCATTCTCCATGGACTTGAGACCTCTTCCACCAAGCTTCTTAGACATGTAGAGTATCGCTATCGATCCCTTAGGGTGATTTCCTCCATTCTCCATGATGATCTTTCTTCCCTCTCGGTCAAGCTGTTGGATGTTTGCTATGGGCCAAGTTTGTGTCCACAACAATTTTTATTATTATTATTATTATTATTATTATTATTATTGTCGTTACAGTTGTTGATATTAATATTAACATTAATATTAATATTAGAAATGAAATAGCAATTGAAACAACGAGTTGCAATCAGCTATACTGAACCGAATCGTACTTTTCTATTTGCCTTTGAATGTAGTACAGGTCTCTATTCAATTATTGCACATTTTCTGTTAGAAGCTTCAAAAGGCAGAATGATAAAATGGGTGATTTTTCCAGCTGATAAACACTCACCATCAATAATACTTGACTTTACTGAAAAAAATATTTCCAATTTATAAAGAGTATTTCTCCGAATTACTTGTGTGAGCATTTCCCTGACTATCAAACCAATAAAGCAAACTATACTAAGTAACAGTTGACACTACAGCTACCACCGTTCTCTATATTGTTGGTCAATAGTATTCTTGGTAGTTGTGTAGCTCTTTGAAATATATACTGATGAACATTTTTTATNCAACTGGGTTAGGGAAGTTTAACCACACCTGTAGATCCAGCTCCTCTGCATACTTCTTAGCATCTTTAATGATGGAGTGGCGTCCATTTTGTACAGCTAGCTCTTCAAACGATCTTACGGCTACCATTGCAGGGTCAGCGTTGCAATTAAACTTTACCGCTGCTTTGATCTTAAGTAGTGTTCCTGTATTCATTCTCCATGGACTTGAGACCTCTTCCACCAAGCTTCTTAGACATGTAGAGTATCGCTATCGATCCCTTAGGGTGATTTCCTCCATTCTCCATGATGATCTTTCTTCCCTCTCGGTCAAGCTGTTGGATGTTTGCTATGGGCCAAGTTTGTGTCCACAACAATTTTTATTATTATTATTATTATTATTATTATTATTATTGTCGTTACAGTTGTTGATATTAATATTAACATTAATATTAATATTAGAAATGAAATAGCAATTGAAACAACGAGTTGCAATCAGCTATACTGAACCGAATCGTACTTTTCTATTTGCCTTTGAATGTAGTACAGGTCTCTATTCAATTATTGCACATTTTCTGTTAGAAGCTTCAAAAGGCAGAATGATAAAATGGGTGATTTTTCCAGCTGATAAACACTCACCATCAATAATACTTGACTTTACTGAAAAAAATATTTCCAATTTATAAAGAGTATTTCTCCGAATTACTTGTGTGAGCATTTCCCTGACTATCAAACCAATAAAGCAAACTATACTAAGTAACAGTTGACACTACAGCTACCACCGTTCTCTATATTGTTGGTCAATAGTATTCTTGGTAGTTGTGTAGCTCTTTGAAATATATACTGATGAACATTTTTTATAATGAAGATTTTCACACATATTCCATACAAAAGGTGAGATAAAAACAGGAAACGCAAGGTTCCATGCACTGATTCAGTTTGATTTACACAGCTTTAATCAAAACGTACTCAGTCTCGAGAATAGTCTAATTTCTAAACCATAAGAAAAGATTTAATTAGCACGCAGTTAGAATTTTTTGCTATTTTCTCTTTCAATTTTTACATACAGTTCGTAAGCCTTAGTAATTCAAAGGTTTGATCAATTCACGCTCGTGCATTCTAGTCTTTTTTTAAAGTTAATAGAAGGATATCTGTGAGAAGAAAATAACTGTGCATAGAATTTAATTGTTGGCAAATTTCTGTAATTGTCCATCGTTCTGCTAGTAATAAGCTAGCTGTTGAATCACTCTGCTTGTTTGTAGCCACCCCCGCAGACATTCTTAGGGGGTTTTCCATGCAGGGGAGGCTAGCCTTTGTGTTGGCTGAGTCTTATTCCCCCAAAGAGAGAGAATTAGAGTGTTTGGCAATTATTGTTTCCAATCAAAGATTTGTGAACTCATGTCTGGCAGACTGTCCAAGTGTGTATATGTCACAGTTATACGCACCTTATAACTTCACCTGTGTCTTTTGGTCCATAACTTACATAACAGCTGCTCCACAGAATGCTACTGATAGCATGTAATGCAAAAGAGTATTGAAGTATGACTGTACAATAAATGTCACAAAATCTAACTATTAAGCAGTCCCTTCTGGATTTTCTGTTTTCATCATCTTAACCATCTCCTACTTGCGGGCTCAAACAATGGAATCTTCTTGATTACCCAACGATTCCATGCGGCCCCAGTTTAAGCAAATCAAGATTTTTGCTGGCATACTGACTGTATACTTCAACTGTAAGTACTTTGCTTAATATACGTGCAAGCAACTAGAGCGCCTCTTGGGATTTCACCTTCTTGACAAAATCCCTGTGGGGGCAACAGTACAATTTGTGCATTGCCAGGCAAACTCAATATTTTTTTGCCATTAGCTCAGCTCTACTCTAATTAAAATTTGTTGCTGTGTGAACTGTTAGGCATTTGTATGATTTTGTTAATCACTTTTATGATTACAAACTGAACGCAGGAATCCACACAGTCCTATTACCATTGATTATTAATCATAACTATAACAAAATTCTCAAATCTTATTGGGTATCAACTGCCATGATTTCAGCACTAATAGGACAGTGTAAATGGGGCCGTATGCATGATGCCTAAATAATAAATTGGACAGTATGTGATATTGTATCACACTTGAATGGTTTGGTTTTTTTAGTGCCAGCAAAAACTCTCAAATATCTTGTGTTTTAACTTTTAAGAGGCTTAAAATGTCACAAAAGTTTTTTTGGTTTAAATGTTTTTAAAAGTAGTATTCCAATTCCGTCTGTAATCATACTTATGATTGAACAAATTGTACACAAGGGGGTGTGGTGAAGGGCATGCTTGGAAGTGACTAATCCATTATGTAGATCAAGGGGTGTGCTGGATAAAAACCTCTGAGATGTGCTTAATTCTTCACATCACATGAAAACCATATTCAATAAATTGTTTGATTACTAATTCCAAACCAGCATTTTAGGTTCTTAAGTGTCACATCTCTTATCTCCTTGTAGACTTCCTTCAAAACGTTTTTCATGGCACTGAGTTTCGGAGTGTGAAAGGATGCCTTTTTTATTGCAGATACTCCTCAAAAAGATGACAGTCATTGCCCAGTATTTTGAATGCATTCTTTTATTAAATATGTTCTTTTTTAATCTGTATTTGAAATGTATGGTTCTCACATACAATGTTACATGGATTCCTGAACTCTCAGTGAATTGCCATTTTCTTGAGATGTTCACCCATGACAAGACAGCTAAGTTGCCAGTCTACTGTCTCGCTTGATATCAATTCAAATGATTGCATATTCCAGTGGTGGATCCAGGGGAGGGGCCCAGGGGGCCCGCCCCCCCCTTATTTTTAGACCAAACTGAGGCCCAAAGGGCCGAAAAAATTTTTTTTTGAGACTGGGCCCTCCTTTTCCTCCCCCCCCCTCTCCTATTTTTAGACCAGACTGAGGCCCGAAGGGCCGAAAAAGTTTTTTTTGAGACTGGGCCCTCCCTTTTCTTCCCCCCCCTTATTTTTAGACCAAACTGAGGCCTGCGGGGCCGAAAAAGTTTTTTTTGAGACTGGGCCCTCCCTTTTCTTCCCCCCCCTTATTTTTAGACCAAACTGAGGCCTGCGGGGCCGAAAAAGTTTTTTTTGAGACTGGGCCCTCCCTTTTCT